TAATTTAATTATTAATATATATTATAAATATACTTATAACAAAACATTGATGATTTTAAATTTTAATAAAAAGTAAAAACTAAATATTAAATTTATATGAATATTGCAAACAAGTTTTTTCTTATAAGTATTTTATATTCTATAAAGTATTTTTATACTGGCTAATTCATCAATCAATCAGATTTTCAAGCCATTTCTTATATATTTATATAAGAAATATATATAAAATATATATAAAATATATTTTATATTTATATTTAGTATATAAATTTTGCAAAATTTATAGCAAAGAAAGCAATTGATGGAAAAAAGATAGAAATAAATAAAAAATTAGTGTCATCTGTAAGAAACTAACGAAATTAATATAGAATAGACAAAGAATAGAAACAAGACACAGATATGACAAAAATTAGAGCTATCCTCATATGCTGTAAATGAAATATATATAGAAAAAACAAAAAATAGTGGGAGAATAATAGAAATAAGTTAAGAATTGATCATTAACATCAATTCTCTTGAATTGGAAGGATATCTTTTCAAAAAAAAAGACTAGAATAGAAGAAAAAAGAGTAGAGAATTAATGCCATTTTTTTAAGCTTTTAAAAAGTATTTAAAAAAAGATATTTTTGAAGTTCAAAAGATGGCGCTGATTGTCAATTCTTACCCTATCTTTATCCTCTTCTCATTATTTTTTGTTTTTTCTATGTTTCATTTGCGACATTCTGAAAATGGTACTGATTTCAATATTTTTATTCTATCTCTGTCTTTTTCTTGATATTTGATTTTTTTATCTATTTTTGGCATAAAAAAGACAAAACAAGATACGGAAATTGAATATATTTTCTTTTTTTTAAAATTAAAATGTTTTAATTTCTAATGTTAAAAAATATAGATGTTATATATTCTATGATGTATTCTATATATATTAGTTTTATGATAAATATTTCAATATTTAAATGATAATGAAATAGTATTTAATCATTGAATTTTTTAATTTCTTTCATATATAATTATTTCATATATAAATGATTTTTAAATATTTGAAAAGATCATATATTGTAAATATTATTTTGGAAAACATCAAATATAAAAAGTTGAAAAAATATAATTTTATGTTCTGTTTTTTCATGTATTTTGGTACACATTTACATTAATTTTATATTTATTTATTTTAAACAAGAATTATCTTTTTCATTTAACATTTTAAAATTTTTTCAATTTTGATGTTACTTTTCATTCGATTTTCCCTATTGTTCTAATTTCGTCTTTTAAATTTAATAAAAATTTATTTATTGTTTGTCACATGAGCATATAAAATGGAAGAATAGCAATGAGAGATGAAATTATAAAAGTAAATTACGTGAATAATGAATAAAAATTAATTTTTTATTACAAATAATATCTTGCGATTTATCTTATTTTTATTCATCATGATATATTAATGATATTATCGATATATCGAACAACATTTCGATATTATCGATATTTTTTTATAATTTTATCTTTACTTTGTACATACTCGAGAAATCCTTGTGGGTGCTTATAAAAGCAAAGAACGCCTTTCCTCCTTGTCTCAGTCGATGAACGTTCCGCGATCTATTTGTTTGTTCAGCATCGATACGTATCGTTTCGAATCGATTGGCAAAAAAACACGAAGAAAAAAAATTAATAAATAGATATAAAATGAAATGATCGTAAAAGTTGCAAATAAGTGATTTAAAATGCGTGTTATTATAACATTGATTATCACGATATTTTTCATTGTTTATGTTGTCGATTCTAGCATTACACGAGATGAAGGTAAGATAATATTATTTTGATGTTTTCATTTTTTTTATTTATTTATTTAAATTTTATAAGAATTTCTTATTTATATCTATATATGTATATAATGATGGAAATTTGAAAGAAATTAAAATGATTCAAAACTTTTTAATCTCAATATAAAAATTATCGAATTTTTTGATTTTATTTATATTTTGAGAATATATACAACGATTGAAAAATTTCTCTATTTTATTTTCATTCTAATTTTTTCAAATGTGATATTCATATTATATTTTCTTTTGTTTTAAATTTATTTTATTTATAAGAAAATATTTTAAAACTTTAAATTTCTTAATATTGTTATAAAATTTTCTAAAATTTATAAAATATTTAATTTAATTGAAAACACAAATTTTGAATTCATAATCAAAGTCTTGAATTCTAATTTATAATAAATTTCAATTTGTTTTAAAATTTTAAGCTATTATTTTTATTATTTGATTCTTTGGAAATAAAGAAAAGCGAAGTATAGCAAAATACTGTTGAACGTTCTCATAAGATATTTACGGTATTGCAAACCAGTCTCCCTGCAAGTTGACAAAAAACCCGATAACGGCACGCACAGGGCAATAAATTGTTTTCACAGTCAACATTTAATTTGAAATTACTATTTTCACGTTTATGTTCAATTATAGAAATAAACTATTGAATTTGAAATTTAAAGATTTATATTTATCATTTAATATATTGCTTTTCTTTACAAATGTTTTGCAGATCTGGAGAAAAATCTTCGAGAAAGATGGAACGACGATTTTGTGATCATTTTTTCAAACATGAAATCGAAAAAGAAACAATTTCAAGTAATGGTCGAAGTCCTTCTAACAATAAAATATGAAAAATCGAAAATGGTACTTATGCTCGATAGACGAGCAAAACGAGGTAAAAGAAAGTGCTTAAAAACGTAAATTCATTCTTTTCATCTTCTCATTACTTATTAATCTTTATGAAATAATATTTTTTATTACAAGTGCATTCATTATCTTTTTCAATAATAATTCATTTTTTTCAGAACTTCATTTTATCATTTTTACAGATATAAAAGAAACTATGAAACAATAATCATATTTCAGTAATCCTCGAGAATATCGACGAAGCTGGCCATCGCATAGCACAGCACATTAACATGGACAATTTGAACATAAATTCGAATTTTCCATCAAAGAACGTAATTTTCCTGGTCCATCAATCTCAACCAGGAGCTCGAATGGCTCTTTACATCGATTGCATTTATCGAGGCGTGATACCTTTGAAGAAAACCTTCCGTGAATTAACAAATAGCGAAGATAACCTTCTTCACATAGAAGCGGTGAGTTTTTATCGAAAAAATAATTTCCATGTTCGAAAAAAACTTGAAACTTTTTGAATCTCTTAATTAAAACACATCATAGAAATTTAGAAATTATAAAATTTTTTACATAAATACGTCAAATATATATATATAATGTATATATACATTATCTTATTTATTTCGTTTTTATTTCATTTTTAAAAAACTGCACTTATCGTTATTCTTTTTTTTTTTCATTATTTTTTTATTTTTTTTAACATTATTTCATATCTTATTTTGTCGAAGAATAAATGATTAAATATATTATTAAATAAATGCTTCCTTTCTTTTTTCTGTTTTTCAACAAGAATTTCACAGTTGTTAGAATCGGTTACGTTAGATGCCGTAGGATGATGTCTTTCCAAATATGGCCGGCTAACCAAGGCTGCTCGCCTTTATTACGTACAGTTGCTAACTCGTGCAACGCATTTAAGCATAGTGAATTGATTTCGATTCGCTTAGGCTCCATCCTTATTAAATACATATATGTACACGGCCCACTTTCTTACAATTACAAGTTTGAGATATGCACACAAGAAAAAAAAAAAACGATGATCATGTGATTGATGATGGAACAGAAGTGCAAAATAAAATTTTCCTCATTTAATATTCATCAAGACTAATTGATATACAGATCATTATATATTTCATGAAAATAAACTTGTTAGGAATGATATTATTTCTTGCTAGTTGTAATATTTTATCGTTGCTTTATATATTAAGATTATTTAAATTGATATTATAATATAAAATTGATATTAAATATAAATATAATAAGAATATTTTTTCGGATATTATGTTTTCAGTTCAGGGAAAGGAAGAGTCAAGTAAAGATATATCCATTGGCAAAAAGTATGGAGGCTCTGCAAAAAGAGAATTGTCTTAGCACTTTGACTGATACGGATACAGAATCTCAAGAATTAAGATCGATCGACGATGATAACAATTTCGAGACACCTTCGTTCAATACTGCTCGTATAAATTTACAAAACAAGCAAAATCACCATGCTCATCGATCGAAGGAATACAATCACGATGAAACGATTGATTTATTCGAAGATATTGATCAGAATTCGAGATCAAATCGTCATTCTGTTCGAGATCGATCGAATCGATATAAGCACGAAAACGATCGTAATAAGTATCTTGAATTCGATCACCAAGATTTTTCGAGTCTAATGAAACGTTTGGAACAGCCTAAATATTTCAATGAACCTATTCAGGAAAAGCTTGAAGTATTAAGTAATTTAAATGAATCGGATATATTGAATCAACCAATTAATATATATCATAAGAGGGTTCCAAGAAGAGGAGACATAGGGATTCAATCCTTGGATGAAAGAGGTAAGTGTATTAAACAAATAGATGGGAATACGATTTATTGAAATTGTAATTGAATGATTATATAGAAATATAATCGTTCGATTGATCAAACGAGCGAATTCGTGATACTTTTTTCATTTTGGAAAAATTTAACTTCTTCGGGAATTGATACATGTGTATATTTAGTTTTTTTATAATTTAGAATTATTTTAAAAAATTAAAATCTATTGAAAAATTTTTTATTACAGAATCTTTTAATAATAAAAACAAAAAGCTCGAAGCATTGATAATATTTTATTTTACTTTGAAAGTATTTCGATATCTTAGTGAAAAGGTTAAGTAAATCGAGTATTAATCATTTGTCAAATAAGAAGATTGTTTTTATTTTTTTGCTCGTTTGATTTAAATATAAAATATCTTGAAAATTGCTATCATGAATTAACAATTTCTTAGATTTAAATAATTAAAATTAATTAATATATATTTTCAATTTTTCGTCAATCTAATGAGAATATATTTAAATGTTTTGATTTTTGTGATTCATTCTATATATCTGATTAGTCATGCAAAAAATAAGTTATAAACTAATTTTTTAATAATAAAGTTAGAAATAAAATATATTTTTTTCTATGTACAAACAATTTTTAATAATATTTTTTAATTTTCTTATAATTAACAGCATAATAAAAAAATAACGTCTTATCTATGTTTTATTCTTAATGATATTTTTATAATATCTTTTTTTTTTATCATAATTGATTAACTAAGTAAAAAATTACCGCCTAGAAATTACTTTATTATTATGAAATATTTATGTTTTTGCTCAATCTATAAAAATTAATGACACTAATAAAACACTTGTTTTCTTCATTTCTATTGCTGATTGAATTTAAATTTGCAATAAAATAAAATTGCCTATAATTATATAGTGTTCTATGTTTCTTTAGAATAATTCTTTAAGATTATATTATCATATTAATCTT